CTTCTGCTTGCCACTTTAGACGTCCACTTTGGTGCCGGGAAATGATTGGCATAGCGTGGCGATTCGCAAACTTTTGCGCTTCAAAAAGGGGCCTCTCTTCTGCTTGCGACTTTAGAAGCGCACTTTAGTGCCGGGAAATGATTGGCATAGCGTGGTGATTCGCAAGCTTTTGCTCTTCAAAAAAGGGGCTCCTTTCTGCTTGCCACTTTAGATAGGAGCTCACTTTGGTGCAGGGAAATGATTGGCATCCCGTGGGGGTTCGGAACCTTTTGCCCTTCAAAAAAGGGTCTCCTTTCTGCTTGCCACTTTAGAAGCGCACTTTGGTGCCGGGAAATGATTGGCATCCCGTGGCGATTCGCAAGTTTTTGCGCTTCAACAAGGGGCCTCTCTCCTGCCTGCTACTTTAGACGTCCACTTTGGTGCCGGGAAATGATTGGCATCCCGTGGCGATTCGCAAACTTTTGCGCTTCAAAAAGGGGCCTCTCTTCTGCTTGCCACCTTAGAGGCGCAATTTAGTGCCGGGAAATGATTGGCTTCCCGTGGCGATTCGCAAGCTTTTGCGCTCCAAAAACGGGCCTCCTTTCTGCCTGCCACTTTAGACGTCCACTGTGGTGCCGGGAAATGATTGGCATGCCGTGGCGATTCGCAAACTTTCTGCGCCGCATAAGAGCTGCCCGCGAAGAGCCGGAAAAAAGTGCTGCTATTTGGCTCAGCAGCCATTTTTCGCCTGAAGGTGAGGCCGGTCCAGTCGACCGGCCAGTCCTCCCTTCCCACCCGCCCGCCCGCTGACAAAATAAATGCAGTGCTGTTGTTTGCCTGAAATAAAAATAAAACTTGAAAGTTTCGCGGTTTTTTCAACGCAATAAAAACAAAATTTTGAAAATTCGCGGGTTGAAAAAAATTGCTCCTGCCAGGTAGGACCGCTTGGGCAAAATGGCTGCTGTTTGGTTTAGCAGCCATTCTCACTGTGGACTTCCCCGTGACATGCCGGGGAAAAATGGCTGCTATTTGGTTTAGCACTCATTTTTCCGGAGTACTTCTCCTTGAAGAGCCGGGAAAAAATCGCTGCTATTTTGTTTAGCAGCCATTTTTCAACGGGGCCTCTTTCCTGCTTGCCACTTTGGGAGCCCCTTTTGGTGCCGGGAAATGATTGGCATCCCGTGGCGATTCGCAAGCTTTTGCGCTTCAAAAACGGCGCTCCTTTGTTTCTGGCTGCCACTTTAGACGTCCACTTTGGTGCCGGGAAAGGATTGGTATCCCGTGGCGATTCGCAAACTTTTGCGCTTCAAAACGGGGCCTCTCTTCTGCTTGCCACTTTAGACGTCCACTTTGGTGCCGGGAAATGATTGGCATAGCGTGGCGATTCGCAAACTTTTGCGCTTCAAAGAGGGGCCTCTCTTCTGCTTGTGACTTTAGAAGCGCACTTTAGTGCCGGGAAATGATTGGCATAGCGCGACGATTCGCAAGCTTTTGCGCTTCAAAAAGGGGCCTCCCTTCTGCTTGCCACTTTAGAGGCGCACTTTAGAGCCGGGAAATGATTGGCATCCCGCGGGGGTTC